CCAACTGGGAAGGACCTTGTCCCCAGAAATTTCACAGGACCACACACTAGCTTCTCAGGTTCTCTCTCTTCCTGCTCAACAAGCCATCTTTGGGCAGGCCTTCTCACTCCCAAGGCTTCATTTACACGGATGCACTAATGACTAAATGTTTTCCCTGTTCTCCTTCTTGCCTGTGCCCTATCTACCTACCCATCATTTTATCTGGATGCACTCCAAATTCAACATGCTTGAACCCAAACTCGTTCTTACCACCAATCCTAGGTACCCCAATGTGTCCCTCCCCTTCCAGAGACATCCCTAAATCTCTCCCAGCTCTTCCACCTCATTATTACGCTTGGAGACAGACCCAGGCCTCTCTCACATGGGTTAGCACTGGAGCCTCCTGACGGCTCTGTATTTTCTCTCTCTCTCCTTATACAGGTTTTTCGCCATAACTGTCTAAAAACTAATCTTCCTAAGATAAAATCAAGTCTTAAAAATCCCTTATCAGCTCAACCTCATCAGCCACTGGGTCACACATATCAATACTACAATGAGCCTGGCTGGGCGTGGCTCAGCAGTTGAGCATCGACCTAGGATCCAGATCAAGGTTCAATTCCCAGTCAGGGCACATGGCCGGGTTGCAGGCTCGATCGCCAGTCAGGGGTGGGGAGTGGGGGGGTGGGGGGTGCAGGAGGCAGCCAATCAATGACAACTCATCATTGATGTTGCTGTCTCTCTCCCTTTCCCTTCCTCTCTCTGAAATCAATAAAGATTAAAAAAAAAAAAGACTACAATGAAACATCAGACATACCTATCAGAACTGCTAAAACAAAGGGTGGGGGGCAGCTGGAAGAGGGTAAACAGGATAAATGGTGACAGAAGGAGACTAGACTTTGGATGGTGAGCACACAATGCAATATGCAGATGTTGTATTGTAGAATTGTATACTTGAAACCTATATAATTTTATTGACAAATGTAACCCATGTAAATTCAAGAATAAAATAAAGATAATGATATTACCAAATATTTGCAGGAATGAAGAGAAACTGGATGCATACATTAGTGGTGGGAATGTAAAATTGTACAGCTACTGTGGAAAAGGGTATTGATGCTTCTTATGAAACTAAACATGTACTCATCACATGACCCAGCAATTGCATTCCTGGGCATTCCAGAGAAATGAAACTTATTCACACAAAATCCTACACACAAATATTCAAAGCAGCTTTATTTATAATAGCCACAAACTAGAAGTAACACTCTCATGTCCTTCAACAGGTGAATGGTTAAACTATGGTTTTTCTATAACACGGAATACTCACAATTAAAAGGGAAAAAATATTGAAACACAACAATGTAGGTGGATCTCAAGGGAATAATGCTAAATGAAAAAAGCCAATCTCTAAAGATTCCATACTATATGAGTCCATTTATATACAATGCTTAAAATGACAAACAGAGATGGAGAAGAGAATCATGGTTGCCAGAGCTTAAGGGAGAGGGGAGGGAGGTGCCTGTGGTTATAAAGGGGTAGTATGAGAGATCCTTGGGATGAAGGTGTTTTGAATCTTGACTGTGGTGGTGGTTCATACAAACCTACACATGTGAAAAAACTGCATAGATACACACACACAAATGAGTGCATGTAAAACTGGTGAAGTCTTAGTCAGGTGGATGGACTGTATTAATATCAATCAATATCCTTTTGTGATATTGTACTATAGTTATTCAAGAAGTTACCATTGAGGGAAGCTGGATAAAGTGCATATGGATCTCTCTCTGTTACTTTTTACAACTGCATATGGATCTACAGTTATCTTAAAATAAAAAGTTAAAAGGAAAAAAAAGCTCTTCCCAATAACACCTAATAGTTCCCCAATGCCCATAGTAAAAGATTCCTTAGCATGGCATGCAGAATTTCCCTTACACATCCTATGATCTAGACAACTAGTTCTAAGAGCGAACATTTATTGAGCACAAGGTATATAGCAGGCACCATTCTAAGCATTTTATATGTATTATCTCATTTAATCTTCAATGATCCCACGAGCTACATTCTACTGTGAATGCTATTTTAAGGTGTGGGGGTTTTTTGTTAATCATCACCCCAGGATATTTTTTCCTTTGATTTTTAGAGAGAGTAGAAGGGAAGGAGGGAGGGAGGGAGGGAGGGGGAGGNGATGAGAAGACCAGACAGAGGGTGTTCTTCTGAATGATTCACTCTTTTGGCCCCAGCAGTGGAAGTCCAGAGAGCTCACCTAAGGACCTGCCGGTGTCGCAGAAATGCCAAGTGATCATTAGTGATCTTGCAGAGGGCTCACAGCCAAGGGCAGCTTCTCACTTCAGAGGAGCTTGTCTTCTCTGGCAGAAGCGGAAGGAAAAAAAAAAAATCCAGATTTAGAGTTAAGTTTTATAGGTAGGGCATCACACATCTTCCTCACTGAGTAAAGGTAATAAATACAGTGCATCTGGTTTAAAAAACAGCACTATGTTCTCTTTAGTTAATGTCTGGTCTAAATGTTAAACTTTATTTCCACAGTCCTCACAGTTTAAAGAGAATTGGTTGAAAATACAGTTGACCCTTGAACAACACAGGTTTGAACAGCATGGGTCCACTTACACATGGATTTTTTTCCAATAAATACTGTAAATGTATTTCCTTTTCCTCATGGTTTTCTTAACATTTTTTTCTCTAGCTTCCTTTATTGTAAGAATACAGTATATATGTAACATACAAAAATGTGTTAATCGATTGTTTACGTCATCAGTAAGGTTTCCAGTGAACAGTAGGCTATTAGTAGTTCAGTTTTGGGGAATCAAAAGTTATATGTGGATTTTCAACTGCTCAAGGGGGTCGGTGCCCCAACCCCTGCATTGTTCAAGGGTCAACTATAAGACCAAAGAAGTTACTGAGTTAAAGCTTTACATGCTTTGTGATGTAAGCAAGAATAACAAAGGGGATAGAATGTTAAAAAAGCCACTGAAAATTATGTTTGACATTTTTAACAATATTGAAAAATGATTATGCCTAAGAAATTGTGTGAACCAGTATAATTCCAATTACATGAAAAAGAAAAATGCATGTGCACACATACATACAAAACTGGGGCAAAACACACCAGTATGTTATATAAGGGTGGTTGTTTTGAGAGAGTTGAACTGTGGAAAATTCTGCTTTTTAACTCCTCTGTTTTCTAAGTTTCCCATAGAAAGCTCATGGAGAGGCAGCATAGTACTGAGAGGCACTCTCTAGCTCTGCCATGTACTGTAGGGTGATGTCTCAGAGCCTGTCTTCCTCTGTTAAATGGCTCAGAGGCCAATCATGAGGACTAAATGATATGATATACATCAAGTACCTACTAAAGTGGCTGACAGAGCATAGTCAATAAGTCTGATGTATTATTATTATTATTTTTTAAATCCTCACATGAGGATACGTTTGTTGATTTTAGAGAAGGCAGTAGGGAGGGAGGGGGAGGAAGAGAGAGAGAGAGAGAGAGAGAGAGAGAGGGAAACATCAATGTGAGAGACACATCGACTGGTTGCCTCCCCCATGAATCCCAACTGGGGCCAGGGATCAAACCTGCAACCCAGGTGCATGCCCTTGACAAGAAATTGATCCAGAGACCCTCTGATTCGAGGCACGATGCTCTAACCACTGGGCCACACTGGCCAGGGCTAACGTCTTGTTTTTAAGATTTTTTATTGATTTTTTAGAAAGAGAGAAGGGGAAAGGGAGAAAGAGATACCATCAAAGTGAGAGCAAAACATCGATTGGCTGCCTCCTGCATGCCCCCTACTGGGAATTGAGCCCACAACCGGGGCATGTGCCCTGACCAGGAATCGAACTGGCAACATCTCAGTGCATGGGATGACACCCAACCGACTGAACCAAAGTGGCCAGGGTCCTTCAATGCTATTTTATTCATAAACCACTAAGGCGCAAATGATACAAGTTGCTTGATAGCATTGCCACCCAATCATCCTTCAAAGCCCTGCTCCAATGTTACCTTTGTGACTTCTTCCAGATTAAGTGCTATACTAACAGTGCTGAACACTCAGGAAATATTAAAAAATGTTTAGTTAACGTCTAGACGAAAGTACACAAAGAAGTTACAAAACTGGCACCTTAAGGATTTGACACTGATTACACTGAATGTGTTTCTCTAAAGTTAAGCTTGAATGCGAAAGTACTGTATAGATTACAGTGGGGGACAGAAAACACCCATTTGTGAGAAAAAGTTAGTCAATAAGACAGCCAAAGAGGGACAGCTAATGTTAGGCTAATGAAACTCCAGTGTCAGCTGCAAAGCCCATATCTTTCTCAAGTTTTCGCATAACAAAAACATGAATACAAACCTGACTTCCTAAACCCAGTTACTTTTGCAAGTCAAGAAAAGGTATAATTTCTTTTCTTAGAAGATATTTCCTCCTGTTTAAAATGTATACTCATTATTTCCCTTAGAGGAAACTAGATTATTACATGGATTTACTTGAAAAGCTTACTGATAATCTTACAACAATCTAGAATTGTTCGAAGTACAGTCTGAAATCTGAATGAGTCTCTCCAAAGGAGTAATTTTAAACAGACAACAGAAGCCGAGGGGAAAAAAACCAATTTTAAGCCCACAAATGAAGTTTAATGGTTCATATTTCCTCTGCTCCATTTGCCCTTCACCTCCTATAAGTTAGTTATCTTCTCTTAAGCAAACCCTTTTGAGAAGGCACTAAAGGTGAGCATAAGTGGCAGCGAGAAGGCAAAGGGAGAAACAGGTAGAAGGCTGAGAGCCAACCTCTCCTCTTTCATAAGTAACCATAAATTCTTTTCCTTTTTCTTTTTTATAAGTTTATTTGTGCCAAACTGACATGCCAGGGAGCAAGATCTCAAATGCTCCCCATAAATTCTTAACAGTTACCTAAGAGAAACTTATTTTAAACTGCATTATCTCAAAAAAGAAGATGTGGTCTAGTACAACAAGCAGATAAAAAAAGGAACTCAGGAAAGGCAATACTGACCAGCCGAGTTCTCTTGTACTTGGAGTCCTCGCGGTCTTTGTCCTGCCCAGAAGCGCCGGTTCTCTCTCTCACATTTCTATAACCAGGGCTGGGGATGATATACTCTTTTCCTATGTCGATATCCTTCATCTTCTCTGATTGGAGGTGCCAGGGTTCACGGACTCCTGGTTTCACATGAGAATCTCTGAAATTAAAAATTCATCAGGAACAGATATTTCCTAAATTGTGCTTAATAACATACAAAAGTGCTTTAAAAGGAAAAAGAGCAAAAGCACTAAGATTTTTAACCCTTATATCTATCAAAAATATTCTAAAAGTTTTTCAAGTACCATTTCATATTTTCATGGAAAAAAAAATTCTGTGTAATAGAATCAAGAATTATCTCTTCCCACTGCTAAGGAAAACAAAAAAGATTAGAAAAATAAATACACTGGTAAAGAGACACCCACCCTTTCAACTAAGTTCAAACCCAATGTATAGAGAGCATTTCTATAAGTCTTAAAAAAAAAAAAAAAGACTTCCTTGAAACAATTTAAGTTTGTTCCAAGAATTACAAACTCCACAATTTAAAAATGGGTATCATTCCTCCTACTAAATTTTACTAAATGAAAACTTACAAAATACTTATTCTACCAATGATCTATCCCATCTCTGCATTTTTATAATTAGGTAATGAGTTCACTGATATTATTTTAAAGCTCCATGCCGTTACACAGCTAACATACAAAACAAAATTATACCTTAACTTAAAAACAACAAATTCCTCTCAGGATATGAAGGTGTTCTATAATTAGATAGTGGTGATGGCTCCACAATTCTGTGAATATACTAGCAGAACACTTTAAAAGACTAAATTTACATGCATGGCTTACAAATTACATCTCAACAAAGCTATTACTGAAAAACAATAACCAAAACAAACTTCCCCTCTGTCCTAGGAAGTCTTACCTAGTATGACCTGAAACTATTCTGAAACCCGGTTCGCCTGGCTAACTCTAATCAATATCCTGTATCAACTTTGGTTACTTTTGAAAAAAATAAAACACATACACACCTCTGAAACATTTCCCCCGCTCTAAGATGGTTCAAAGCTTCCCAGATACAAGCTGAGAAAACCCCTTTCATATCAGCCTCACTAGAAATTAAACAAGTGTAGCCGTGTGGCCTTTTAAATTCCATAAACTCCTGGCTAGTAATCACTGTAATTTTAAATCTACTCTGTAGATAAAATTCTGACAGCTACAATTCATTTTATAAGGTATCAGAAAAAAGGAGAACACTTACTAATCCTTTAAGTAAAAAGAACTAAAATCTTCTCCATAGATACATGTTTCCAGCACAAAGAAAGCTAGACTTCTTACCTTTTAGAGGTCTGATTAGAATACCCTGAGTTGATACTACTTAGTTACTTAGCTTTTAAAACCAAAGTCACCTTGTTCAATGACAAACTGCACCATAAGCAATCACGTCACTGAGAACTCATTAAGCCTAAACTATAAACAGACCTGGCACCTGCCAATGTCCCCAACGTTGGATGCAGCTGCAGATAAGAGTAATCTTTGTTACAAGGGTCACAGAAGTCCAACCTTCCTCTCCAGAGGTTCCTGAGCCTAGCTAATTCCTGGAATCCGAAAAGATTAGTCCTACTTTGAAAAAAGGCAGCTGGAGGGGAGGGAGTTTGAAAGGAAGGAGGCCAAAGGAACTCATTTATGTCATCAAATACCACGTCGAGAGGAACAAGAAGATCACCTCAGTTGTCTACTAACTCACAATAACCAAAATTTCTTTCTATCACTTTGTTTCAAGTTATTCTACATATGAAGGATGGGGGGAGCAGTTTCCCATCACCTCTAACACTCTTGCTTCTTTAATTTCCTGGGAAAAGAGGTATAGCCATGAGAGTAGGCAGGGCTTGAGTGGGCACAAAGTTACTATCTCTTGGCCTTGAACACAGGATTCCATCTTCTGTGTATCACGGATATAAGACAGGGCGCTCCACATGGAGGCCAGCCAAGAGTTAGGAAGTCCAATAGGTTCTGGAAAGAAACAAGGCGCAAATCTGAAGAAAGCAACTAAGGAGGAATCACTCAGCTAAACTAATTTTAAAATACTATTTCTACTTGCCTCTTTTCTTCTATTCTCCCTTAAAGTTGTTTTAAAGTCTTTTTTAAATGCTGACTTGCTTTAGCTATTAAGAGAGGGAAAAAGGTAAGGGATTTTTGTTCCTGTTTGAGCCAGAGGTGTAGGATGGCACTAGCAGAATAACCAAAGTGGGAGAACCCCAAAGAAGTGCCAGACTAAAAATGAAGAGTTGAGGCCACTTGGTCAGCTGCCTTTTTTTAAAACTAAGATTCTCCTTCCAGTGATAGAGGTGTACAATGAAGCAGATGAAACCGCATGGGGGGAGGGGGGTTGCACAGGGTTAAGAACTTCAATTACCCAGACTGGTATTTCCAAATTGCCCTCATAACAGGTTTCAAACATCTCAGGAATCTGGTTCCAGACCCTGAAGCTGCACAAGAGGACCTGACCTGAGGCTAAAAGGATTCATATTTACCACCCTCCTCTGATCCACTTTTGTTTCCAACCTTCTGCACCTTTCACTTACTCACACTGGACCCCAGTATAACCTACCCATCTCCTCCTTCAAAACCGGAAACTTTGCCAATTATTCCCGTGCCTCCTGCCCCCCCATGTCTGTGCAGAAACCGAATGGCCCCTGTGCAATAAATACAAAGCATCACGCAGTTCTGTGTGGTGGAAGTGAAAAGGCCACTGATAAAGTCAAGAGGTCTGGGTTGCATTCTGGGCTCTGGCCAGGGTTTGCTGTGCGTGCTTAAGTCACGAACCTCATTGAGCCATTTGCAAAAACCCCTGAGGATGGCTTCTCAGGTGGCTGGCAGCTCAGAGTCTCCGGTGTGCGGCTTGAGGCGGGTGGACCCAGGCCGCCCTCCCCACAACTTGAGGATGGGGGCTTCTCTCAGGCCAGTTTTGCCTGGAATGTCCTGGACCGTAGGGCGTTCCCGTGGCCAGTTGGGGCCTGTTGAGCCAATAGCGACCCACACCCACGGGCCGCAGCACCCCCTGGTGGCCGCAGCCGGGAATGTAGCCCGCACCCTTGACCACTCATCCCACCCAACCTGCCTTCCCAGGCCAGCACCTCACCACTTGCTCTCAGGGGTCACGGCCCAAGGAGGGGGTGGAGGGAGCCCAGAGGAAGGCCAGGCCCCGTTTCTCAGATCTCCAGCTTCCCCCGAACTGCTCGTATCCCGATCACACCCCATTGCCCCCGGAGGAAACACATAGGGATGACCCAAGTGACAACCGAGGGAGAAGGAAGGGGCGCGGAGGTCGCCGCTACCTACCTGTGCCCCAGGTGCTGGACCGCCGCGCCGGCCACTCGACCACGCTCCGGAGCATCAGCTCTGGAGCAAAACAAGCCTTTATAGCGGCATTGGCCGCCGCACTGCGCAGGCGCGCTGCACAAAGACTCCCCCAGACTGAAGGGAATTGTAGTCCCCCTTCCAGGAGCCCGAGGCTGGGCACGCGGCAAAGGACTCTCTTTCCCAGAAGCACCCCGGAAGCCCTGGGGACTCGGGCTGCCCCTCCTCGCCCCGCGCTCCCGGCTCCGCGCCGTCCTTCCC